TCGCAGGTGATCATGATCCCATTGGGATCGGAACCCAAACGGGATCAGGATACCTGAGGGATGGGGATCCCGCCGGGATAGGGTTCTCTCAGGGATACAGGAACCCACCTGCGATCGAGAACCTACAAGGATCGGGATCCCACAGTCATCATGATCCCACTGGGATCGGGATCTTAACGGGATCGAGAAATGGGATCCAGATGGGATCCCACAGGGATCGGGATCCCATCGAGGAATGAAACGTTTACAAAAGTTATTACATACGTGTTTTTCTAGAAGACAAATTAAATATTTTATTTATTTACAAAGGTGGTATTTATTTATTTATTTTTAAATGAAGATTTATTTCCATGTTAATTAAAAGGCTGTAGACGCCATTTTATTCCGTGAAATCCCTTGAAATCCCTTGAAACTCCAGGGATATTAGCTAGTAAATTAATGCAGCGCTTACATCAAGAGGGTAGGTACCAGGCCGTCGACACAAGAACCACCACATTACCATCTTCATCGTTCCAACATTTAGAAGTCCGTCTTTAAAACGAAAATAATTTGTTGCATGTTTTGCTATTTTTAAAAAAATTGTTTACATTGATTAAATATTTGCTAGATAACTTTTAAATATTTGATATTGTACTCACACATGTGACGCACTTGTTCCATGTGTTGAGCAACACACGCACTGCTACTCATTTTAGGAAAAAATCAAATCTATTGATGGCGGTGCAAGGTTTGCAAGCGTGGAGTCCTCCGACTCGGCCTTTCAGAAATGATTATAATACAGTTTAGCATGCTTTGATATATTTTCTACAACGCACTCGTGTTAGTGTTTATGTCTGTGTGTATGTGAATGTATGTTTGTGTGTTTATGTGTGTGTATGTAAGCGTGCGAGCGTGCGTGCATGCGTGTGTGTGTGTGTGTGCGTGTGTGTGTGTGTGCGCGCGCGCGTGGATGATGGGGTGTCGACAATGGAATAATGAAGTTTTTTAAATGTTTTTTCTTTAAACCTTATTTAGCAGTTGTTCACCTACTCGATTTTATGTTTTTTTTTAAGGACATCGCCTTAAAAATGGTTTCAACTAGCTAATGTAATGTATCCGGCATTGCTCGGGTTTGTTTTCGGAAAACAATTTTTTTTAAAAACGATATCAGCGTACCTTTAAATTTAGGGCTCTGTCAAAAAAAAAAAATTCACTAAAGTACACTGTGATTTATTTTTGTGTGTTAAATTCTCCTAAATAAATCCAGGTTTATAATGACTCTTGTAAACATTGACTTTGGAGACAATCCCGTTTCAGTTGATATTCAAGCAGAGCATAGCACAGAAAAACGGTTTCAAGACAAATCTAACTTTTAAAAGATGTCATATTATAATTTTTTTTAATGAATTTAATGTCAAATCTATGGTCGTTTGTTACTATAATTTTTTTTTCCAAATATTCTTCTAGTCTTTATTCATAAGATAGGGGGCACTACAGACATACGTGAGATAAATATTCAACTTAATTTCTTTCAAATTTATTTCATTACAATCTGAAAAAAAAAATTGCATTGACGTTGCCCTTAAAACGTCTACTATTGGGTCCCTGGTCGCCAAAAGAACTTCATTTTTAATGATTTATAGCAGTGAGCTGTAAGTATTTTAGGTTGGATAATGAACACATTTTATTTGTAAAAAGCGCCACATTTCTTACGCTTGAAAACACCAAGGAATAGGCGTTTTGTTGACAATAAAATTTTGACCCCCCCCCCCCCACTCCCGTGTTTTCATCTTGCTTTTATTCACAAATCACTTTTTCAGTTTTTTATTTGTAAAAAGCGCCACATTTCTTACGCTTGAAAACACCCAGGAATAGGCGTTTTGTTGACAATAAAATTTTGCCCCCCCCCCCCCCACTCCCGTGTTTTCATCTTGCATTTAATCACAAATCACGTTTTCAGTGTCTTGATTAGCTCTTTCGACACCGCCCTGGGTTTGTAAGTGTTACAGTTTTACCATGGACGATCTTCAACTTGGGCCATTACTTCTTTACCACATGTTCACCACATTGTTGGCAAATTCCCTGCAATTATCAGACTGTAGAATTGATTGAGCTCCAAGCAACGTAAATATGTCCACGATTGTTTTAGGCTACCTTTTCCGCACTCTTTGATGTTAGAGGTCCTAGAACGACACACTTTGTGAGATGATTTTGATACACTATTATAAATTTAGATCCCTTGTGAGGATGGGACTAAAAATCGATAAGTTCGACCTGACCCCGGGAGTTGAATTCAGAAAAAAAAAACATAGGCTTCACAACAACACTCTTTTTGACACATTTTCATTCTTCTAGCACCGCTCACAAAAGGAGGGGGGGGGGAGGCTACAGTTCAAAATCATTCCAAGTAATGTTCTTATACTTATGTGAACGTTTTTCAATATTCTGTCTGGTCCTCCATGTCCAACGACCAAATGAGCCTCATGAAGTACGTCAAATAATTAATAATCCGTGACATAGAACTGAATAGCACTAACGTCTTCTTTAACAGGATAGATCAACGTATTGTTCTCTACCGCCATTACTTCATAGCGTTTCAGCAGCCAATAGTCTCGTGGTTCCTTCTGAGCCCCTTTTCACATCATCCACTAATTTTTTTGGTAACTGGTTTCCATTAGAGGAACGTGGTTTTTAGCTAATATGGGCTCGTACTTTCGAAACGTCATCGTAGAAACGCCCATGCATGTAAACGTTCCGTGATTCCTGATCTGAAACTACAATCTGATCTTCCAACATCTCCGCAGCCGTCTTGAAACAATGGGGACAAGCGTCTCTGGCAAAGAATCAAGCATGAATGGCGGGGTATTCTATACATTGCCGGGTAGCTCTTCGGCGTTGTGTACAATGCCTAGGAAAAGTGTGAAATATAAACCAATAACTGTTCACGTATAATCACATTTTTTTTAAAACCCTGGTCTTTGCACAAAATCGGGCAAATATTTTGAACAGACAACCATCAGATCTGGTATGGCATCTCCTTCTTCAAAGTCTCTGAAGGCAAACCGAAGAAGTGTTGAGAAGAAAATGGACAAGACCGTTGGTGCCAGTACACAGCCTCGTAACAACGCAGCCGACGTCGAATGCCTCAGAGACCACGTCATAGAGGGTTACTGTGCTGTGCATGTTTTTAGTGAAATTACTGTTCGAGTGTGGGCAGTAGTTGGGAAAACCTGTTTTAGTTGTTTTTGTATACGGTGGTCGGTTTCTCGTCATATTTTCATTTGTCCTGTTTACTCAGGAAGGCTCTTAGCCGAACAGTTCATATCTCACTGTCCTGTCTTTTAATTCAAGCTTCCATACCTTATTCTACTATTTCAAAAAAAAAAAAAATTTGTAGTCATACCACTTTACGATCGAATGCTTGCAATCTATTTTAATGGTGTTTTGTGGGTTAAGGTGAGGTGGGTGTATGGGTGAGTGTATGTTTTTGAAAAAATATTTATTTTAAATACCAGAAAAATAGTAAATGCAATACTAAGCAAAGGAACATTCTAGAACACTGTTAATAGTTTTCCAAACAATTGATCGGGGCAACACCATTTATAAAATCAATAAAGTCTTAGCATTTTTATTGTCGAGTTAATTTTAAAAAAAAATTAAAAATCCTGACTGTCCTAACGTTTGGTATTGTTCACACTGTAGGAAACTAAAGGACATATTAGACAAACTATTCATCATTAAAATTTATATTGCAGACGCATTCTTGTTAAAATTAATCGCTTATTGAATTTGTCAAAATTAACTACACAAAATTGTACGCAGATGGCTGGTGAGACATATCGATGTCTGGACACCTTGCTGGCGTGTAGAAAATTAATATTTTTGGCGTGATAGTGTTGTTCATTTGTGTAAATTGGGCCTCGACAGCACACCACTCGCGAGCAACATGCGGTCCGCCAGCACGGACTTTGCGGCCCACGAAGTAACTAAATATTCTTTTTGTTTATCATTATTTTCTTAATAGCTTTCCCCTATTTTCTCTCGGCACTTTAGTCTTCGTATGAATCAGTAAGTTCTGTATAAAATGGTTCAGTCAAAGACAGCTACGCAAGGGGTAAAGTGCCCTAGAAAATCAAAGTAAACTACAATTGTATTTAATAAGTTCTTTATGGTGGTATCTTGCATTTCAATTTTGACCCACTTCATAATCTCCTATTGAGCCGAACCAGTGCACTTGACACTTGGGACACGTCCGCGGATATAAAAGGAACGGACATTGATGGGGACATCTGGTTTTCACAACGGCCATTGATGGGGACATCTGGTTTTCACAACGGCGATTGATGGGGACATCTGGTTTTCACAACGGTGATTGATGGGGACATCTGGTTGTCACAACGGCGATTGATGGGGACATCTGGTTTTCACAACGGCCATTGATGGGGACATCTTGTTGTCACAACGGCGATTGATGGGGACATCTGGTTTTTACAACGGCGATTGATGGGGACATCTTGTTGTCACAACGGCGATTGATGGGGACATCTGGTTTTTACAACGGCGATTGATTCTGCTTGATGACTACATCCGATAACAATCAACGATGCCAAAAATATATCTACCACAGAAAGGTCACCACTGATCTTTTGCGTGTTTGTATCATATTAGGGTCCCACTATTTTTAAGCCCTATGTTTCAACCCATTTCCCGATCTCATCGACCAAGACTAACAAGTACAACATTAACATAATAGATAGATATATTTATTTTAACTTTAAAAAAAAAAAAAGCAATCCATCTTTTCTAAAAATTAATTTAAAATGTATAAATTAATGTCGCCCAAACTTCCGAGCTGTTCCGCTCATGTGACTACAAAAGCTTGTTGTGGCCATGTGACTACAAAAGCTTGTTGTGGCCATGTGACTACAAAAGCTTGTTGTGGCCATATGACTACAAAAGCTTGTTGTGGCCATGTGACTACAAAAGCTTGTTGTGGTCATGTGACTAAAATACTTCCTCCTCTTACTCTTGAGTTTGATTAAAATGAATGTCGATTTTCACTCATTCCTATTTGACAGGTTATGGAAAGCGAAAATAAAAAATAAAAAAACTAAGAACAAAATTAGTAATTTTTCCGGTTCATTTTTTGAAATTTTATTAAGATAAGAGAATCATTTTTTTTTTTTGGTACTTAACACTCACAAAACTCGGGTCTCGAATGTTCTTTTTCCATATTACCCCTGTTAGGATATCTTTGGGTTGTCAACCGCTCACAAGTCACAGCCCGGTTGCAGCTTCGGGACCTTTAAGGGCAACCAGCTGATGACGGGTTGTTGATGACGTTGCGTGCAGCATGGACCAGAGGGTACCGTCCCTGTCCGCAGGTCTGTCCGGAGAAGTCGTCAAGGCTCAGCTCCCAGAACATGACACCCCCGTAGCCATTCTTGACGGCGTAGCAGGCCTGGGAAGTACACGTTATCGTGTGCACACACATTCAGCAATTTCGGAACATTACAAACTGACCTACAGTGAGGCGTCAATCATCAGAAACGGCGGCTATTTGAACTTACCATTATATTTCTGAAATTATTTTATTGCAAGCAAAGTGCATGGCGTGGCGTTTACCAGACATAAGAAAATGTGTAAATTATAAATACGTACCGTATTCTTTCACAGATTATAGGTATAATTATCTTCGAATGCTGGAACTAACGCTAAGAGGCACAAACTATGGAACAGCGTTCTATAATCAGAATATTTAGCTACTTCCTATTTAAAGGGGCTCTCAAACACAATACAATACAATTCATTGATTCTTAATTTAAAAAAAAAACAGAACAACTTTTGAATAAAAAGCAAATTAACAAACTCTTTCCAACAAAAGGAATGATACTTTTTCAAAAGAAAAAAAATCCTCTTACTTTGTAGAATTATGAATTTAGAGTTTTACACATAACTAAAGTCTAAAATTATCAATACATGAAAACACCATTTTGGATTGTTTTTTTCTTCTTCTGTAGCTTCTTGTTATATATTTTAATAAGTAACATACAAGTGTAAGTTCAGACACTGTTCCCAGTACAAAAAGTCGACACAGGGCCGGATTAACGCTGTTATTTGCATCAAGGTGCCTACTTTCTCCCGATGCCTACTTTCTCCCGATGCCTACTTTCTCCCGATTACTTTCTCCCGATGCCTACTTTCTCCCAATGCCCTGGGCAGGTGCTTATTTTGCTGAGGGGATAATCGGAGCCTGGGTACACACTATTCTCACCTTTTCTTTCACGCTCTGTTGGTTGTCATATCCGATCCAATTACTGCCCTGCAAGATGTAGGGGTTACGCTGTGAGTTGTCAAAGGTCACATGACCGCCTGCTTTGATGATGTCACAGACCTGGAAAGGAACATGGACACATGACGGACGCAATACCTGTATTAAAGGCAGTAGTACTGAACTAGCTAATTATTATGTTATGTGCCCCCACGCCAGACTTCCCCTTCAAACCCCTTCTGAGTCCGCTTTACTCTGGTTGCACCCTGCTATGTTGATCTTGATACCCTTTTCTGGTGGCACCCTGCTATGTTGATACCCTGCTCTAATGGCATCCTGCTTTAATGTTGATACCCTGCTCTGGTGGCATCCTGCTATGTTGATACCCTGCTCTGGTGGCTACCTGTCATGTTGATACCCTGCTCTGGTAGCGACCTGCTATGTTGATACCCTGCTCTGGTTGAACCCTGCTACGTTGCTACCCTGCTATGCTGCTACCCTGCTATTTTGCTACCCTGCTATGTTGCTACCCTGCTCTCATAACATCGTGTTCTGCTTCCTTCATTCAGCTTAATTTTGAAATGACCCCCCCCCCAAGGAACTTTGCAAAATTTTGGTGTCAACGCCTCCGCCAATCCCCCCCCCCCTTTTTTTTTCAGTGACGCTACTGATTTTTTTTCAAGAGAGAAGACTATTAATTTTGACACTACCCCCCCCCCCAAGGAACTTTGCAAAATTTTGGTGTCAACGCCTCCGCCAATCCCCCCCCCCTTTTTTTTTCAGTGACGCTACTGATTTTTTTTCAAGAGAGAAGACTATAACAAAGAATTCAAATCACGTGCTTTCGTTTTCTCAGAACGTTTTTGGATTATGTTAACATCTCTCTCAACTAACCCTTTTTTTTCTAAAAAAAATTTTTAATCTTGTAAAAAAAAATCGTTATCCAAAATGACGAAAGCTCCCACCTCGTAGTAGGCTAGGCTTCCGGCATCCTTGGTGATTGGCCCGGCCGTACCAGTGCCGCTCACGGTAGCACCGATGTTGTGGTTGTTGGCGTTGGCCAGGTGGAAGGTCCTGCCGTAGGTGGCTATGCCCAAGTTCAGCTTGCTCTTGGGCGCGCCGAGAGACACGTAGTACTTGGCCACCCAGTCCTGCCGAGAGAGGCGCGTACGGATTAGCTCTCTTTTGAGGGAATGAAATTGCGTGTGTGTGTGTGTGCGTCAGAAATGAATCGCGTGATTGATGTCAGGGTTTGTGCACATTTACATGTTGAGTTATAAAAAAAGCTATTCTTTTAATAAAACACACGCTGTACAAAGGCCCTCAACTCTCATATTTTTTTTTACAAATATATTTGATAAGTAGAAAAAATATCGTATTTTTTAAGATACATATTTTTGGTGTCAATAAGTGTTATGTATGTGATTTTCGTATTTAGCTTATATCACGTAATATGTTGTTCATTATTTCTGTACATTACTATTTAATTGTTTAGGTCATAGCTGATCGTTGGTTTTAATATATGTAAATACGTGTGACATAAACAATTTTATTAAGGACATTCAAAATTAAAATCAGTGTAACCAGCAATGCATGGATGTGACCAGGATAAGCTGTGTAGAATCAAACAGTGCCTTTTTCATCATTTTTGTGTACATGACTTTTCTTCGCCACTAAAGTCATTCAGAAGTCTTAACATTTATTTTGTTTAAAATAATATATGTATCTCTTATTTTACAGGGCCATGTTGACACCATTGTACTCCATCGGCAAACAGTAACACCTAGACCGCTCCCAGGGGAAAAGGTCTCTGGTGACCGACCATAGTGGACCAAAGGACCGACCATAGTGGAGCAATGGACCGACCATAGTGGAGCAATGGACCACCCATTAAAGTCGTGTCCCTAGGCGAAACTCAAATGGGCCCCCCCATAAGACTGGATTGCTTAACGTGGTTCTTCCTATGTTTCCTGTCCCAGTGCCGATACGATTCTCTTCTGTTCTTTCAGTCTTTTCGCTTGCAAGGTTTCAAACATATAGACATATAACCTTACTATAAAATTACTATAAAGTTACAATAACATCACTATAACATCGATATTTTTTATATAAATTAAGGCACATTCTAAAAGGTTTTCGAAGTTACCAAGTTGAGCTGTGTGCTCCATCCACTTTCACTTGGGGACGCATAGAGTGGACTGTTAAATCCTAGAGTGTTTCCCCATGGTCCGTGGAAGTCATAGGTCATAATGTTGATGAAGTCCATAGCCCTGAAAGTAGTAAGGACACATTGTTCTGTCGTCATCATATTACGTCAATGATTTCACATGTGGAAAAAATAACGAAACACATTTGTTGGTGTTCTGTTGAATTACCCTAAAGAAGGCAGAGCAGTGATAATTAATTGAAAGGGCTGATTGCTATTTTCTTTCTGTAGGTTTTTAATGTTGGCTCTTCATTGTTTCCATTCAGTCGTGTCACTAGGCTGCGAGGGTTGGGGGATCGCACCGGGTGACACCCTCTCGGGGGAGGGAGGGTGATACCAAATGGAAAATGCAAATTTATCAGAGTTCGCTCAATTTGGTTTAACAACAGAACTTAGTTTAATACAAGAACAGAGTGGCACCACAATAACGTGTCACCAGAGCATGGTGTTGCCAGACAAGTGTTCTACCAGAAGAGGATGCCACCATAGCAGCGTGCCACCAGGGCAGAGTGTCGCCAGAGAAGTGTGCCACCAGTGCAGGGCGCAACCAGAAGAGGGTGCCAGAAGAAGAGGGTGCCACCAGAGCAGTGTGCCACCAGAGCAGTGTGCCACCAGAGAAGGTTGCCAAAAGAACATGGTGCCTACCAGAACAGGATTTTACCAGGTTACGTTGCAAATGAAACAGGGTGCCAAGCGAAGAGGATTCCACCAGGGGCAGGGGGCCACCAGGGCGGGGTGCCACCAGGGCAGGGTGTCACCAGAGGCCCGTCTGGAAATCTCTAGTTAAGGATAAAATTACTTATCACGATCTGGGTGTGGCTTCAAGGAAGAGGAGCTTTTCAAAACTGAAACGTATAAAGTACTGTTTGCGATCTACCATGAAATAGCCAAGGCTGTCTGTTCATGGGCATTGGTCAATTTTGAGTGATAAGATGGAGACTGATGATTGCCACATCATACTGGCATCTTTGAAGACCGTGACGGCAAAGTTTTAACTGTTAAGTTTAATGTTTCATTATAACGTTGTTGTTTTTTGTTTTTTTTGTTTTTTTTCTTTGCAATTGTTAAACGCCGTTACTTCAAATTATGTTTTCTTCTTATGTCTTTTTTTGCTTTACGTTATTTTATGTCTTAATTCACAAACAATACTTTAAGCGGTTCGATATGATCTAGAGACTTATTCGGTGCAGGTCAGGGTGGGGGTGCCCGAAGAGGATGAGGGGAGGGGCTACACCATGAACATAGCACGCAGGGTGGCACAAACTCTACTGACGCTCGATGACCCAAGAACTTTAACCGGGAATTTATCATCACAGCTTCTATTGCTATCAATAGTTCAGTCCCCTGTTTCACCTGTTAAATACCAATATTTATTTTTCTCTTAATTATTGATATTAAAACTTACGCAGACAACCCATGAATGTCGTATCCTGCATCGATAGATTCTTTTCCTGCGGGGAAAGCGCCGGTCAACAGCAGGCGAGCCTTGCCACTGGACGATGCCTCACTATCAAAATGTGACCTCAGTTCCTGCAACACAACATGCGGGCTAGTGTATTATTAGTACTATTAGAATCGTTGACTACGTAACAACGGGTGCCTTTGAAAAGTACAATGCACGAGTGACTCTAGCGATAAAGAGTGTTACCTGCATTAACTGTAGAAATTTCTGCTTGTCGGATGCTGGAGATCCGTTTGCGGCCGGGTATTCCCAGTCAACGTCGAGTCCATCAAAATGTTTCTGTCTCAGGTATGTTATGGCAGACGCGATGAATGCACTACGGGTGGCGCTGTTTTGGACCACGTGAGTAAATGGCGCTGACCCAGCACTACCGCCCCCTAGCGAGAGAAGGACTTTCAGGGATGGGTTTGTGTTCTTTAGAGCTATCACTCTTGCGTACCTGGAATGTAAAATGTAAAAAAAAAAAATTTGAGCGTATGTTTAAAAATAATCCTTTGTGTATTAACATTCAAACTCGTACACAGTATTACCCGTGACAGACAATGACGTTTGGAGAATCCGTAAAAACCAAGAGCTACATCAATTGTACGAAAACCCACCCATAGTCGCAACAATTTTTTTTTAAAAAGGCAGACTGCGCTGGACAGGACATATTGAAAAGATGCCGGAATGTAGAGCAGCAGGGGTAATATACAAGCAGAAAGCTAGGGTCAGACGGTCTAAATTACGAGAAGTAATTTACTTTAAGTAAGACCGACGCATGGCAGTAGGTTGTGGGAGTTAGAAATGAGCTGTTAAGAGATGGGGTGATACTGTGTCATCACCAGTGGCGCTACAGCCCATGTAGTGTCCTGGCCTGCTCTAGCACATCTTTCCATTCTGATCGATCCATGGCTTTCCGCCTCCATGCGCAAGCGCCCAAGTTTTTGTCTGTATATCACTTTATTTATCCCGATATAAGGTATATGTATAACCATAATATGAGAATGTTCCCCTAGAAGTGTTTTACTGACATGGTATCATCATTCCATTCATAGGGCTTGATAGCCGTGCCCTCCAGCTTAGCGAAGGCGTACAGGATGTGAGTGCACAGGTGGGCGTCGATATTCTCGGGCAGGAACTTGCCCTTGCCCTCTCTGTATTGTGCCCAGTTGGTATAGTAGCAGACCGTGCGCAGGGCCGGGGTCACTGAAGGGGGCAAGAAGACAGCGAATGTTAGTAGAAGTTGTAATATTGGTGCTAAACTTAAACCACGTGGGTAGCTAGTCGGGATAATTTGCTAGTGAGAGAAAGATAAGTTTAAAAGTAATTTACTTACACTTGTCGCCTTAACATTATATTTCATTGAAATGTATTAATTTTTGCTGTCGCTTAACTTTATAAATAAAGCTCTACAACAACGGCGAAGCAGCCACGCTAGTTTCTACACTACACCCATTTCTAGTTGCCTATCAACCCCTGTACATTCGAAATGTTTTCCATCAACGTTGAACCCTAAATGGTTAGGAAGTTGTGACTTTAAAAAGATGGTGGTGGGGGGCACCTTTGGAGTGATATATAGATCAAACATTATAAACACAGATGTATTTGTAAAGTGTGTGAGGAGGGGGGGGGGCTCCTCACCCCTGACAGTATTTAGTCAAGGTAAACCACTAGACAACAACACACTCACCAGAGTTAGCCGCCAGCACTAGGAGTAGCAGAGAGCACCACATTTCGATAGTTCAGCTAATGAAAAAAAATACATTCAAAAAGTCTATTGATGGCATTACAATGTTTGCAAACATGGATTCCTCAGAAATAATAACATTAAATTTGTGCTGCGTCTTTTGCAGGTTTGTGTGTGTGTTGGGGGGGGGGGGGGTGGATTTTTTTTTGGGGGGGGAGTAGATGATTGAGTAGTATCAATTTTGTTTACTTGTGTTAGTGGTCAAGGAATAATACTTTATAAATATCAACCTTCCCCCCCCCTCCTCTATCAGTCACGTGGTCAATCATGGCTGCTCACAAAAACGTCTCACTTGTTCTGTTCTCTTTCTTTTTTTTTAAAAAGTTTTAAAAGTTTGCAAATGGCGACTAACTAAAGTGAGACACATTTACTTAAGTAGGCAATTGCAATGCTTAGTTTTAATATACTAAAAATTCCACTATTTCAAATGCAAGCGACTGTTTAAAGAAACAGATAAGAAGATAAGTTTGTAAAAAAAAAACGAGTGGGTGGGGGGTGGGGGGAGACGGTCAAAACATTCGGTAATGATAAGCAGCAGAAAGAGATAAGATCTTTTATGTTACTGTAACGATCATGGTTTGTACCTTTTTTTTTTACAAACATGTTTTTTTCTTTTACAAGTGGTTCTAAATCTATCTTCAAGTTTCTCGCACATGAAACTAATATGGAGATAATAAGGGGATATATATTACGATATAAGGAGCTATATTACCATATAAAGATGATAGGCAACAAAATTACTGTATAAAGATGATGATGAGCTATTTTACCCTATAAAAATGATAAGGACCCATTTTACCCTATAAAGATGTCAAGGGGCAATAACTCTGAGCAATAATCTTATTTAATTGTATGTTGTTTTCAAGCCAAACTGCTTCACCTGAGGACCATTCATGCCTTGTAAACTCAACAAATTTTAATATGTCTATAGAGAGATGGGGGAGGGGGAGGAAGTGAGGAAGGTAAAGAGAGTGATGGACTTTAATATAGAGGCAGAATGGGGGAGGGAGAGAGAGAGAGTGATTGAGGTTGAGAGATTGTGGGGAGAGATTGAGTCAAGGAGTGGGGAGAGAGGAAGAAGGGAAAAATGGAGAGAGAGAGAGGATTACAGAGAGATAAATACAGAATGAGAGAGAATGAAGAGAGGGAGTGGTAGAGAGAGTATGGAATTTAAGGGAAGGATGGGAAAATTGGAAAGATGTCGACTAGGAGAGAGAGAGAGTCAGATTGATAGCGCTGACTTTAGATGACCCGACTGTGTGTGTGTGTGTGTGTTAAAACAAAGAAAGCAGACGTTTTAAGACCAGAACCATTTAACTGTTCGTCAAATGGGATCGTGACATGGAGTTCTACGCATCGAGACTAAATGCCATGAAGCGGCCTGAATGGAAGGATATAGTGAAGCATGCCAGAGCCCTGTGTGGGTTGTGGTGCCGCTGATGATGACGACGCTGCGGAAATGGTCGCAAAAAAAACTGAATCTACAACTCTGACTCCGGTACTCGACATTCCATGCCAGTTCGAGATTTATTTATCATAGCGGAAAAATTTCGATTTCCGAATGAACCGGACATTTTATACGACTCGGAGTTAACTACGTCTTTGATCCCGGCCATAATAACAAATAATATCTAGCAATCTTTATTAAGGTTTATATTCAAAAATTCTTTTCTAAATCCAATGCGCAACACTGAAATATAAATACAGTTACAAATTTGCACAAGTTAACTACTCAAAAAAAGAGAGATCTCAGACAGCTACTGCTTACTCGCATTGTCCAACAAATGGTCATTTGATTTGGTCACCCAACTTTAATATCGAAGCGGCCTGTCGGCCACAATCTCCGCCAAAGTAGCAACCGATCCTGAAGTATTTAACTCACGTTTACAACCTAGTCTCCTTGCCCCTGAGGTTATTTTAATACCAAAGTAGAGCGCCAAATTATGGGGGGAGAGCATTATCTGGATACGATCGGTGAGGTCGTGGTGTAAAAATAGAAACAGAAATTTGCGCCAATCGAAGTCCAAAGTTGAGTTTTAATCGGTTTACTGTCACGTTGCTTACAAGAGATTAAAATGTGCTTTTCTTAATACAAATTTATCCCGTTCAAAATAATGAATTCGTCAATGGTATTACCACAAAAAAAATGTGATTGGACATTTCTGCCAAGAATCTAGTAGAATAATAATAATTGATGTTAAAATTCGGTGTTAAAAAATGTTAATATGTGTTTTTTATTCAACATTGAACTTGTTTAAAATTATCCAAGTGTGGTCCAGTGTGAGAACCTTTCAGTGGGAACGTTAATTTGATTTTTTGTATGTTCTTTATTGTAGTCAAAATAAAAAAATTTGAACACGAAATTTTACGCAGTGACTTCATGATTTATATCATGCATCAGTGATCTACACGAATCCAGTCTCAACAAAATGATACAAATCTCTGGGATACAAGAACATCTGGGTCGACCAGGCATGTCACGGAATCCCCATAGAAGCATAAGAAATGTTTGCACTGTGGCTATAAATGTTAATACAAATGGAACCAGCCCTTACCTCTACGATAATTCCAGCAAATGAGAAATTGCTCTCTTAAGACAGGTGGCCATAATCTTATATTGTGGTTTTATCTTGAATCATTTGGTTGAACTGAAACTAGTTACGGTTACTGGCAAGCAAATGTTTTCGTAAAGAAACCAAAACGTGGTACCAAAAGAATGCTACAGGGGTTGTCAACAGATGGGTTGTCAACAGATGGGTTGTCAACAGATGGGTTGTCAAAAGATGGGTTGTCAAAAGATGGGTTGTCAACAGATGGGTTGTCAACAGATGGGTTGTCAACAGATGGGTTGTCAACAGATGGGTTGTCAACAGATGGGTTGTCAACAGATGGGTTGTCAACAGATGGGTTGTCAACAGATGGGTTGTCAACAGATGGGTTGTCAACAGATGGGTTGTCAACAGATGGGTTGTCAAAAGATGGGTTGTCAACAGATGGGTTGTCAACAGATGGGTTGTCAACAGATGGGTTGTCAACAGATGGGTTGTCAACAGATGGGTTGTCAAAAGATGGGTTGTCAACAGATGGGTTGTCAACAGATGGGTTGTCAACAGATGGGTTGTCAAAAGATGGGTTGTCAACAGATGGGTTGTCAAAAGATGGGTTGTCAACAAATGGGTTGTCAAAAAATGGGTTGCCCAAAATAACAGTAGCACCTATCAACTACGTGGAGATGAGTTGTCCAAAATAAAATTAGCACTCATCAACTACTGGAGATGAGTTGTCCAAATTAAATTTAGCACTCATGAACTATGTGGAGATGAGTTGTCCAAAATAAAATTAGCACTCATCAACTACTGGAGATGAGTTGTCCAAAATAAAATTAGCACTCATCAACTATGTGGAGATGAGTTGTCCAAAATAAAATTAGCACTCATCAACTATGTGGAGATGAGTTGTCCAAAATAAAATTAGCACTCATCAATTGTGTGGAGATGAGTTGTCCAAAATAAAATTAGCACTCATCAATTGTGTGGAGATGAGTTGTCTTAGAGCCTCTCCACAACTCACAACTCCCATTTCTTGGGACATCCGTTAAATAAAAAAAATATTTAAGGCACATGTATCAAATCAAGGCCCACGGGCCACATCTGGCCCGCTGTACAATTATATCAGGCCCGCGAGGTCTTGACAAGCGTACACTTATATCAAAGTCAACGCTAAGGGTGTTTCCCAATGCACACTTTGCTTAAAAATTTAGCTTACTTCGCGCCGAGTTCGCACGGCGCTTTAGTGATTTTTAAGCGCAGAAATGTAATTTCGAGCTGTTTCGTAACACATTTGTAGATAGAGCTAATAGAACTGCAAGTGTAATGGACACAAAAGAAGTACGACACAGCTGGGCCTGCTCAATTCACTCGTTTCATTCCTGAAGATGCCCCAGCTTCGTCTACATGCGGCTCGAACCTTGAGCATGTTGGGTAGCACATATATGTGTGAGCAGCTGTTTTCTGCGATGAAGATTAACAAAACATCCGACAGGAGTAGTCTCACTGATGAACACTTGTAATCCATCATGAAAATCTCAATGAAAAAGAACGGTTCTCCCAACATAAACGAACTTACTTTTTCTTGTAGCCAAGAAAAACTTACATAAGAACAAAAATGGGTATGCCAATGATTATTAATTATAAAAACGTTTTTCTGTTTTCATTTATGTAAATGTTTTTTTTTAATAGTTCTCGCTTATTGAATGCTTATCCTGTTCGACCCGCAATCTTACATATGATTTGAGTTTTGGCCAGCCGAGCTATTGAGTTTGACACCCCTGATTTAAGGCCATCCATTCCTTAAACAACATTATTATATTAGAAAGACATATGAGACTTGGATTCTAAGTTCAACTCTTTAAATTCTCATTTAGCGTCTCAATTTTACCACTTATTGTCTCATAACCGGCTTCATGATAAATATCAGGCTAAAACTACCAACTACTGGATAAACACATCTTTGAAGAACAACGTTTCTATTGTTGTTTTAAGAGAAACTCAATGGATAATATAACGTTATATGTACACCAATGTTGACCGACCTGGTTTTACACCCTGCCTACTCCCATGTTCAACGTCCTGGATAATATACTCTTAGTACTCTCATGTTCAACTAGTTGGATATTATACCCTGTTTACTCTCATGTCCAACTAGGAGGATATTATACCCTGTGCACTCTCATGTTCAGCTAAGTGGATATTATTATACCCTGTGTACTCGCGTGTTCAGCTATGTGGATATTATTATACCCTGTGTACTCGCGTGTTCAGCTATGTGGATATTATTATACCCTGTGTACTCGCGTGTTCAACTCGGTGGATATTTATACCAAAAAAATGTTTTTATGGGCTGTTTAAATAACTTTAAAAGAACAACTTTTTTTATATGTTTTGCAAAATTAAAGTAAACATTTCGCGTACAAAATTCAACTAACTAGGTTAGTGAATGAATGACACGGGCAGTGGCCGCTATCTTGACCCACACAGAAATTGGGTGCTGGGTGGGGCACATAAAAGCGGTTCACATTTACAATATCTTGCATCTTGCACAGCCATTGATGCAAAGCAGGCGATGACAACTCCACCGCGCTTCCCAAACCCGCTGTGACATTTGGATGCCAACCCCCCCCCCCCTTTGCCACTTTTCGGGTTGTGCGCCCTCTTCAATCAAAGTTGACAGTTTAATTTTTTTGTTCTCATCTCAACTTAAGGCCCCTTGCATATCCGAGGCCACCTGCGGCTACGGAGTTCGTAGTACCCAAGCGACGGCTTTGACAAAGGCGTACTGGTTTTTTTGAGGCCCATAATAGGTTTCAAACGTCTATAAAAAATATTTTAAATATATGAATGAGTTCTTGGATTCTGTGACATTTGGATGCCAACCCCCCCCCCCCTTTGCCACTTTTCGGGTTGTGCGCCCTCTTCAATCAAAGTTGACAGTTTAATTTTTTTGTTCACATCACAACTTAAGGCCCCTTTCATATCCGAGGCCACCTGCGGCGTCGGGGTTCGTAGGACCCAAGCGACGGCTCTGACAAAGGCGTACTGGTTTTTGTGAGGCCCATAATAGGTTTCAAACGTCTATAAAAAATATTTTAAATATATGAATGAGTTCTTGGATGTTCAAAGTCATTTTAACCAACTCTAAACTGATGGTATATTTCTTTTTTCACAAATAATTTCAATATCTTCGTCAGTGAAATGGTTGTCGGCGAAACGGTTGTCGGCGAAACGGTTGTCGGTGAAACGACCGTCGGTGAAACAGTTGTCGGTGAAACGGCCGTCGGTGAAACAGTTGTCGGTGAAAAAGTTGTCGGTGAAACGGCTGTCGGTGGTTGAACAACGGCAGTAGTATTGGCGGCATTGAATCAATAGCGTCAATGTTGCGTGGTGTGTTGTCTCATTCTCATCAGAAGTCGCGAGCCCATCCGTCAGTACTTTGACCAGTTTAGATCGGACGATGAAACAAGTTTACCTCGCTGACGAGTAGCAATAGTGCCAAGGTTCGGTCACACTGTGCTGGCAATGAAACGAGTGCCGTAAGAATATTCAAAATAGTTATTTGTTGACGTGGACAAAGAACAGACTCCCGTCACGGTTTCTACATAAAGAGTCCTTCTTTTCCCCACCTTTTCCATAAACAAAGCCAAAAAGATTTATTCCTAGTTTATAAAATTGTTTCAATAAGACGTCATTTATGTACCATGTTCGTAGTTGAAACCATCTTCTGTGTTTGAGTATTGGTTATGGATGGCTGATGACTATATCTTCTGTGTTTGAGTATTGGTTATGGATGGCTGGTGACTATATCTTCTGTATTTGAGTATTGGTCATGGATGGCTGGTTACTATATCTTCTGTATTTGAGAATTGGTCATGGATGGCTGGTGACTATATCTTCTGTATGTGAGTCTTGGAAATGGATGGCTGGTGACTATCTTCTGTGTTTGAATTTTTGCTTTTTGATGACTGGTGACTATCTTTTTTATTTGATTATTTGGCTATTGATGACTGGTGACACAGTCAATTAAAAACTTGATTTGACTCCGAGAATTCTACTCCCATGCCGCCTATGACGCCAAAGCGCTCGCTGTTTTATGGAGTAAATAACAAATGAAAGACGGAGATCTCAAGAATAAAACTAGACATTAAAATCTGTAATGATGGATATGATTTATTAATTAATTTTTTAAATTTTATTTATTTTAAGAATCCAACTCAGGCCCATGGGTTCGACTCCTTGAATCCGAAAAATCAGACAAGCGGGCTTGCTTGAGATAATCTGGGTCGTCAGAATCAAGATAAACCATATCGGATCTATTTTTGGCCCTCGGCTCGTGGTTTCTCTTGTCGTTTGTTAATGTCTAAGGAACACCGTGACCCTAAAACAAACACACACACAAACACACAAACACACACACAAGAATACAATCAGGAAGTTCTTTTAAATAAACAAAAAATAGCTGCATCTATCGGTGGAGATTTTTAAAAAAATATTATGATCAGCCACCTAGGACGAATTTAATTTTAAGGCGCTAGTCCTACGCGACAACTTCACAAACACAGAGCTGCAAATATTGCTGCACCGTAATGTGAGTAGCTTCATAGCTATATTAATACGCACTTATAGAGAAATTGTTTAAAAATCCTTCACTTAGATTTTTAAAAATCAATCCAATTAAATTGAAATCAATGAAATAGATTCACGGTTGTATAATCTTTAACGTTAAAAAAAATAAGTTAGAAATGAAAATTAAGATTGATCAATGGACTACTGACATGATCAGCCGACAAGTATGTCCTAGAGATATGCAGTTGGTGAACAGTCTGCGTCTGACATGGTCAGCCGACAAGTATGTCCTAGAGATATGCAGTTGGTGAACAGTCTGCGTCTGACATGGTCAGCCGACAAGTATGTCCTAGAGATATGCAGTTGGTGAACAGTCTGCGTCACGGTTTGTGGAAGGTTTGGGACACAATTAAACAATGATTAAAGTACCCATAATAAACGTACTTTAAATCATTTATAAACCTGATAAATGTACTCCTAATAAATGTACACCTCATACATGTACAATTAATAATAACGAGTCACACCAGAAGCGTAATATATGTACGAGATTTAGCGTAGCTATCGGGAATTATATTGTGCGCGCTATTGAACTTATTATTGAACTATACTTTCTTTCAAACATATAGAATTATTTGTAATATAATCTCAATGCCTAATTCTTTGATTAGGGAGCAGTCCATAAGGAAGAAGTCCACGAGTCACAACAGAAGCGTAATATATATAAGAGATATTAAAGAAAGTATTAGATGTACATTTATTAGGTGTACATTTGTCAGGTGAATATTTATTGGTGTACATTCAATAGGAGGACATGTATTAGGTGTACATTTATCACGTTTACATTTATATAAATATAACAAATATTAAATACTTTATAAGGTGTAGATTTATGTGTTAAAGAAGTTTTTAAAATGTAATATATGTGTTGTTCCCAACTTGCTACCAGCGGACTTTTTGATATCACGAACAACTATTTTCTTTTGCGTTTGTGGGGAAAGTGGTGGAAAAAGGGGTTGGGGGGTGGGGTGGGGCGGCAATCGTTGACTTGATTAATTAGGAGGAGTTAGGTTCCTTGAAACTTTTTAACAAGGGGAAAAAAGGGGGGGGGCAAAAAAAATGCATTAAAATGTTGACATATTCCTAAACAATGGTATAAAGAGACGCAAAACAATTAAAATGTCACGAGACCACAGGTCAGCCTATGTGTACAGGCCGGCGGTATCGCACACACCTGGTCTGGTGTTCAGAAGAAAGACGAATGCGCACGTGACCCCGTGACATGTTTACTTCGTCGCTGTTGTTGATACAAAGACATTCTACTTTCAATTTCTAGAGTGTGTCTCCCCGCTCCTCCCCCATACACTCAAGTACAACGTCAGAATAGAAGCTTGTTGAGAGTTTCTGTACTGAAATTGAATGACCGGGGGGCAGTCTTTCAAAACTTTAAATAGTTTATGTCACGGATGTAACAAAAGTCTATAAAAGGGACCTTTTTAAAAAAATATAATTTATTTTCCAAACGTCCTTGAACAGCACACTACCCAAGATAAGATTCATTTCTTAACCGAATTTTTTATTTCGCTGTGCTTTTTTATTTAATGTTTCAAGCTATATGTTCGATGTTTGTTTAGGAGGACATATTACTCTAAGGTAACTAAGGTAGGTGCTCTCACGTGAATGATCGCACATAAGATTGGTTGTGAGTTGTGAGTGGTTTTGGTGTGCCTTTGTTTTATCTTCTACTGATGCTGTTATTGGTTAACGTGTGAGTTGTGAGTGGTTTTGGTGTGCCTTTGTTTTATCTTCTACTGATGCTGTTATTGGTTAACGTGTGAGTTGTGAGTGGTTTTGGTGTGCCTTTGTTTTATCTTCTACTGATGCTGTTATTGGTTAACGTGTGAGTTGTGAGTGGTTTTGGCGTGCCTTTGTTTTATCTTCTACTGATGCTGTTATTGGTTAACGTGTGAGGTGTGAGTGGTTTTGGCGTGCCTTTGTTTTATCTTCTACTGATGCTGTTATTGGTTAACGTGTGAGTTGTGAGTGGTTTTGGCGTGCCTTTGTTTTATCTTCTACTGATGCTGTTATTGGTTAACGTGTGAGATGTGGGTGTTTGGTGGTTTATGAGATAACGGCTGTGTGAGCGAACATAAATTCAACTTTTTCAGTTTCAAATTTAAAAAAAAAATGAGTTTCATAACCTTAAGTTCTAAACTTGTCCACATTTAATGATGGCTGACGTGTTACAAAAGAAAGAAAAATATAGGAACATTGCAATTTGTAAATATTTAAATATTATAAGTGTATTTTGATTATACCGTATTTATTGGCGTCTAACACGCTCTTTTTCTCCCCGAAAATAGGGGGCAAATCATGTGTGCGTGTTATACGCTGATATAATGTTTAGTTTATTTTCTTCTGAAATTTCCTTCTTAAATTGAGGTGCGTATTATACGCCAATAAATACGGTACTTAAAATGTTCTAAGATGCATGTAACTATGAAGATCATGCAGTAAGTGACAGTCGGTAACATGGTATAGTGACATCACATAAAATCGAATAGTGACAGTCAGTAGCATCGTGTAGTGACAGTCGGTAGCATCGTGTAGGGACAGTCGGTAACATCGCATTGTGACATCACGTAACATCGTATAGTGACAGTCGGTAACATCGTATCTCATTCACTGACAAACTTGTTGACATTTATCTCATTCACCGACAAACTTGTTGACATTTATCTCATTCACTGACAAACGTGTTCAATATTATCTCATTCACTGGCAAACTTGTTAACATTTATCTCATTCACTGACAAACTTTTTCACATCAATCTCATTCACTGACAAACTTGTTGACATTTATCTCATTCACTGACAAACTAGTTGACATTGATCTCATTCACTGACAAATTTGTTGACATTGTTCTAATTCATTGACAAACTTGTTGATATTGATCTCATTCACTGACAAACTTTTTGACATTTATCTCATTCACTGACAAACTTGTTGACATTTATCTCATTCACTGACAAACTTTTTCACATCTATCTCATTCACTGGCAAACTTGTTGACATTTTTCTAATTCACTGGCAAACTTGTTGACATTGATCTCATTCACCAACAAACTTGTTGACATTTTTCTCATTCACTGGCAAACTTGTTCAATATTATCTCATTCACTGGCAAACTTGTTGACATTGATCTCATTCACCAACAAACTTGTTGACATTTTTCTCATTCACTGGCAAACTTGTTCACATCTATCTCATTCACTGGCAAACTTGTTGACATTGATCTCATTCACCAACAAACTTGTTGACATTTTTCTCATTCACTGGCAAACTTGTTCACATCTATCTCATTCACTGGCAAACTTGTTGACATTGATCTCATTCACCAACAAACTTTTTGACATTTTTCTCATTCACTTGCAAACTTGTTCACATCTATCTCATTCACTGGCAAACTTGTTGACATCTATCTCATTCACTGACAAACTTGCTGACTTATAAGTGGTTAAATAAATCCATGAACCTTCAAAGTGATTCTGTGACGTTGACAAATTGAAGTCTCCGGCTCTTCCACAGAATGGAAATCTCCAGCCTTGTGCTCATGGTCTTAGCTGTTATCGCAAGCACTGGTAAGTAGTTTTAATAATTAAAAAATGCCTATTAAACATAATGATACATAAAGATTAATTCAATTGTGTTGAGTAATGTCAAATCTCTTAAAGAATATGCGTGAACTGATCAATTTTTCTTTATAAACATATTTTTTAATATAACACAATATCGTGTGTTTTATCCCACTAGACCAGTGGATCTCAAACATTTTCAGGTCAACGCTCCCTTAAGGCCAAAAAATCACGCTGAGCGCCACCCTCTGTCTATCCACCCTCTGTCCAATCCACCCTTTCAGCCATATCCAAGTGAAAATATTGGACGGCCCACTATTGTGGATACATGAACTTTTCAAAATAAAATAACTATTTAACAAGAGTTTTAATATCTACGGTGATTCCGGGCCAATTATTCTTAAAGCTCGAGATGGGCTTGATAAAGTGATGGCAGTTTTCCACTGCCTGGCTTTAAGTCTCTTAGCAAAGTCTTCTTTGACTGAGTTCATATTTTCATGCGATTTCACTGGAACACCGCACACATTACCGTGTTGGAGAATGAAACAGGGAGTCGTTTAACAAACTTTCGATGTGTAGAATATGATAGAAACTGTCATACTTTAACCAAAAACGTTGGTAGCATTTCTTAAACAAACTTCTGGTGACAATCGTGCATCTTCCTTTTCTCCAACAGCTCAAAAATCTGACTAGCCTTTCAGCTCCCACTGGGCTCTCCAAAAGCGCCCCCCCCCCCGGGGCGGTACCACCCATTTTAAGAACCATTGAGGGTTTATAAATCAATAATTGGTCTCACTGTTGTATTTCATCTGACGATTTGTAAATAAATCATTAGTCTAACCATTTCATTCCATCAGGTGGGCTGAGAAGCGGTCTTTATTTCACTAATTACTCTCATTCTTTTATTATTCAAGACGGTTTCAGAAGTGTTTGTTACTACACCAACTGGTCTCAGTACCGACAAGGCAAGGGCAAATTCGTGCCAGAAAATGTGGACCCTACCTTGTGCACCCATCTCATCTACGCCTTTGGCAAGCCCGAGGGGACAGACATCTTGCCCTTTGAGTGGAACGATGACTCTACACCCTGGAGCAAAGGAATGTAAGAGTTTGAAAACGTGTCTTTTTGTCTCCGTACTTAGCACTTGTTTCAACACAGCTAGCCATTGTTTCAACACTTGTTTTTTTTAGTGTTCGTTTAATTTTAAAAACTTAAACTCTTGAAATATTTCATAAATAATGCTGGACACTCAAAATTGTGTGAGTATATGTGTGTGTGTGTGAGTGTGTGTGTGTGTGTGCTTGCGTGCTGTGTTCTCATCATATTGGATACAATATCTTGTAAATAGATTATCTTAGTAGGAGTTAGTGAAGAGGTTAGAGGTTACAAGAGGAACAAACAAAGTTTGAATACAATTTCGAAGTGAACCAATCAAGAGTGATATCAAAGCTAGTCGCGCTGATGGCAAAAGACTTGTACAAAATCCATGTTATTCCAGCATAATTTCAACTTCTGCGATCAGCAGTTATAGACTTTGGGGTCAGCAAGTTATCAACTTTAGGGTCAGCGGTATCATCTATAGGGTCAGCAAGCATCAACTTTTGGGGTCAGCAGCTATTAACTTTAAGGGGCAGCAGTTATCAGCTTTAGGGTCAGAAGTTATCAACTTTGGGGTCAAGGTCGTGTACCACCCGGGCCTACATCGTATGTTTCCCGGAATTCCAAACCAAGGTCACCGGTTTCAATGATGAATGCATGTGAAATTTATGAAACAAGCAACGAATTCAGCGTCACCTGCAAATTTCTCTAACCTATTTTGAACACATCGTGAATTTAGCAGCGTGCACCCCTTCCCCACCCCCACCCCCCCTAAAAAGCGGTTACCAAATCTAAATGATCACTAACTAAGCCTATATTGTCATTAAAGGAGTTCATTGATGGCTGAGTGCTACGCTACCGGAATACTTTAGATGCCTTGTGTTTAAATTGTTATAATTGTGAAAATCTTTTCTTAGAACAAATTTGTATTTATTTATGTTCTGAAAAGGAATATGTACAATGTTATAAAAAAATAATAATAAATCTATTTATTTGGATAAATAGAGAGTCTTATCTTATCTTATTAGGTATGAAAGAGCAACGGATCTCAAACAGAGAAACCCTAACCTCAAAGTTCTCCTAGCCATTGGAGGGTACAACATGGCGTCGGAGCCGTTCACCACTTTCGTTGGAAGCGCCGCCAAGCGGACGGCATTCGTCCAGTCGGCCATTTCCTTTCTGCGTGCCAGGAACTTTGACGGCCTTGACATGGACTGGGAGTACCCTGGTCAAAGGGGTAGCCCGCCTGAAGACAAACACAACTTAGTCCTTCTAATCCAGGTACAGACTGTCATCCACTGAAAGAAGTTCAATGACAACATTGAATTCACGATCGCATATCGTCATGCCAGTTTTATATTAAAGAAACGTTGGGGGTTTTGGGGGTTTTGGGGGTCGGGGGTTGAACGTAGATAATTATATAATTATAAGGAAATGTTGAATTATAGATCTCAAAATTCATTGGATAGTCGATCTCTTCATTCTTCATTCGTGTAATTCTTTCTTTCATTTTGGATGAGTCCACACTGACTAGACGCTGTATTTTTATCATGTTGCTGCGTTATTTATTTTCTTTCCACAGCCTCCGAACCTACATTTCAGTTGGTTTGTTATTTCACCTATTTCATTTACCTGCTAAAGTATAGCTTTTAAAAAGATTTCAATGAATATTTTACATTTGCTGATGATGCAAATAAATCTTAAATAAAAAAAGAATTAGCAGAGGAGCCGCCTTCGACTGTATCTACTCTCATTGATGTCACAGTAGTGTTTGGTGATGCAAATAAATCTTAAATAAAAAAAGAATTAGCAGAGGAGCCGCCTTCGACTGTATCTACTCTCATTGATGTCACAGTAGTGTTTGGTGATTTATGTACGGTGTGACGAATTTTACTTTTCATTCGACACAGATGTGACTAGTTTGGAAAAAAAAAAGACTGCCTAACGCCGTTCTAGGAATGATTATTCAATAATGATTGTTTCACAACGTATCACACGTCCAGTAAATTAACACACAGCACAATGTTCTCATGTATTGAGCAAAGCTGTCGCTGGCACCGCGCGCACCTTGCATTCACCGTGCATGACCGACCTAGCCGCAGCGCTACATCATGATTTTTGAACAATTTGTATCGCTCATGCTCATGTTAGATTAAAGGCGAACCATGTTCTCCAGATCCGGGGGCATTTCCAACGGCAAGAAATGTGTCTATTCCACCCAGACAAGTCCAAGAAAACATCTATCAAAAAGCATTTAAGAAATCCTTCATAATTACCAACATCTCACCAGTAACATCCAATTACTTCAAAAATAAAAACTGGAAAAAATTTTTTTTGAAAATTTCATGAATATTTAAATTATGTGTTTGAAAAGTATGTAACCGGTGTCTAAGCCAGCACTTAAACAGTTTTTTTTTTTTACCTCAAGAATTCCTTCAAGAAATTGTTTTGTTCATGTTTTAGAGTCAGGGGCATTGGGTGTACATTGAGTGCTCATCCTGTTGGAGAATCTAAATAATCAAATTTCTATATAACCTCCCTCACATAATCTTACACGTATAATCTGATTCACATAATCTCGCTTACATAATCTTACACACATAATTTGACTCACATAACCATAATTTATTACCCTCCCCCGGTCCAATTTTTCCAGGAAATGTGGAACAGTTTCCATTTGGAATCTCTCAACAGCCAAAAACCACGTCTGCTTCTGACCGGCGCACTTCCGGCAGGGAAGGAGAGTATCGACGCCGGCTATGACATCCCCGCCATCATGCCGTGAGTTTTGGGCTTAGCAAACACGTACTTGACAAAATTCAAATGTAGCCGATAATCTGAATTTAACACGTCCAATGTGATTCTGTTATGTATGATGGTAAAATATTAGCTTTTTTTTATATAAACTTTCATTGTGTGTGTCAACCTGAGACGTCATTTTACCGTGGTTGCATTTCCTTGTGCTCTGACAGGTTCATGGACTTCATCAGTTTGATGACGTACGATTTTCACGGCAGCTGGGAACCCTACACGGGCATGAACAGTCCGCTGTTCGCCCACGAGACGGATGTTGGGAACGACACCTACCTGAATCTGGTGTGTTTTGTGTTGGTCTCTTGAGGATTGTTTAAAACCTGATGTGATGTTTGACACGTACTCATGATCTATGTCAATTCTTTGAAAACTGACCGAAAAAATCGTTGCATGGTTCCTTTGCAGGATTGGGCCGCCCAGTACTACGTGACGTTAGGGGCACCTAGAGATAAGATCAACATCGGTATAGCCACCTACGGCAGGTCATTCCTCCTGGACAGCTTAACGAATAAAGGGGTCAGGGCCCCTGCCTCTAAGCCAGGTGACGCCGGCACTTACACCATGGAAAAAGGTTTTGTCTCGTACTACGAGGTGAGTCTCCTTAAGAAGGAAACAGTAGAACAGCGTATGTCAAAGCTTCAAATGTCGATTCATATGAAGCATAATTTGTATTTTTTTTCTTACACACAAAGTGAGGACTAAATAGTTTGATGTAATTCACCAAGTTTTCGAATTCAATTTTTTTTTTAAATAATATATTTTAAAATCTCACACTTTCATGGAATAGATCAAATGTAGGTCACTTCAATCAACCAGTGAATATTTTCAGATTGCATTGCTGGACTGGGGAAAAAGAAACATCTCAAACAACATAACAAATCCAAGTATATTTCTTTCACAGACAGTCATTTGAACAGCATGTAACATAACTCAAGCTGCGCAGCATTGAGCACATCTTGTGTTGTAGTTATGCCCCCTTCTGATCTCAACCATGTTGTTGAACCATGTCCTCAGGTGTGTGATTTAATGAAGTCGGGGGCCCAGGTGTTTGATGTTAAATCCCAGAGGAACCGTTACCTGCTCAAAGGCAACTTTTGGGTCGGCTACGACGATATTCAAAGTGTGACGGAAAAGGTATTTATTTCATTAATAAAACTAAACACTTCGACAGAGAAAACAAAAATATGTTTTAAAACTTACTAAAGGCAATGAAGTGAAAGTCAAGCAATATATCATGTCTTTCTATTTCAATTGCTCTTCTATTTCCATTGCCCTTCTATTTCCATTGCTCTTCTATTTCCATTGCCCTTCTATTTCCATTGCTCTTCCATTTCCATTGCTCTTCCATTTCAATTCTTCTTCTACTTCCATGTATCTCACCAGCGTTTTTGAAAGCTGCTAATGAACGTGTATCTCGGAAATTGGTGACCTTTTATCAGCATTATTTAGAGTCCGTGTGGTTTTAATCTTCTGGGCCCCTTCCGTTACTTGGTTCGTTGCTACTCTTTTGCGCAATATACTTCAGCTCTACGAATATCTCATTCATAGTGTTTGAATCCAAACTTTCGCCTTCGTCTCCTCAGGCTTGCTACACCAAACAGAACAGGTTTGGCGGGGTCATGTTCTGGGCCCTTGACCTCGACGATTTCAACGGGAATACGTGTGACCAGGGCAGATACCCATTAATGAACGCCGCCCTCAAAGAAATGGGTGACCCGTCCACGGCCAGATGCCCAGTGTAAGTCATCACGCAAGATATAATCATGATAGTTTCAGTGTGCCGTCTCGGATTAGAGGGCCCCTTATACCGGTGCCGACAAGGAGGGTTAATCAAAGGTTTGACATGGTCTCTTTTCCGATTTTGACTCCGCCATTTAATCGCCACTATTTCATCGCCGGAATTTCATCGCCGCCATATCTTGCCGCCATTTCATCGCTGCCATATCTTGCCGCCATTTCATTGCCACCATTTCATTGCCACCATTTCATTGCCACCATTTCATTGCCACCATTTCATTGCCACTATTTCATCGCAAGCATTTCATCTCCGCCATTTCGCCGACGTAGATGAAGAAAATCTTCAAATGTTGAAGCTTCACTAGCAACTGTACCCTTGCTGCACTACCAGAGTTAGAGATCTGTTTAATGTTACCTCTAAAAGAAAAAAACAACAAAAAACCAAATAGTTTCGATTTTAAAATATCAAGAGTGTAGGAGGTTGGGGTGTTATCATTCATTGGGTAGATGCAAATCATTGGTGTTTTTTTTTTTTTTTAAATTCGTGTCTCACACTCTCCTACTGTCTCCAAGAAGGTGTTACCTGGATGATCTTTCTAAAAGAAAAAAACAACAAAAAACCAAATAGTTTCGATTTTAAAATATCAAGAGTGTAGGAGGTTGGGGTGTTATCATTCATTGGGTAGATGCAAATCATTGGTGTTTTTTTTTTTTTTTTAAATTCGTGTCTCACACGCGCCTACTGTCTCCAAGAAGGTGTTACCTGGATGATCTGCAAGTGACTGTGTAGTCTTGCATATATTCGGTAGGAAGTTTCATTTCTTCTGTTATCTCTCCAATGAAACATTACAGTTGACTCGCTGCCTAACCCATATTTTTTTTCATTGACATCAATCAAGCCGTTCATTCTCTACCATGTCATTATAGCATGACGCATACAGTTAAATGATTTCTTTCACTAAGTCGGTCAAATGGCCCGGTGACGAAATGGCCAAGTGGCGAAATGGCCCGGTGATGAAATGGTCCATTGGTGAAGTGGTCCGGTGACGAAATGGCCCGGTGGTGAAATGGCCCGGTAGTCAAATGGCCAGGTGATGAAATGGCCCGGTGACGAAATGGCCCGCTGAAGAAGATCATTCAAGTCCCTTTGACATGTTTTGGAACAAAATATTATCACACTACTATATCCATATATTATATACAAAAATTTATGTAAATTTTTTTTAAAATATTGACAGCTTTATTTTAATTATCTATAAATGGCGTGTTATAATATAAACTATATAACCACACACTTAATGTGTGATAATAGTAGGTCCATAAAATTAATTTAAAAAATATTCTTCATGTAGATATTTAAAACATGAAATCTAGCATCCAATTCTTTCCTTGATACGTTAGCTGTACGTTATTTCCACAGCAAATCATCCAGTCCTACTTCACAAACTCCACAATCAGCCACCAGCGCAGGTCCAAGTGAGTTACTCAAATTTTTGCAACTTTGTAGCAATGGATTCTGAAACTGTACACACTAACACCCAGTTTAGTTACCCTGTACTTAGAATTAGCCGTGTATCTATAATCGTACTTTGTTGAGATTTCTAGCACTTCTAATACTTGAATGGTTCAACTAATGTTTTCCTGATTATGTCTTCGCCCGCCCGTCCCCACCCACATCTAACCCCCTACACCCCCACCCCATTAGACCAAGCTGTTATCGCCCAGACGCTCGGTGAATTCAACTGTGTCGGACAACGCAATGACTTCTACGCTGATCCTGTTTCCTGTAGCAGCTTCTACGTCTGCGCTGATCACGTGAGTGAGACGTCATCGTGCACTTACACAGGGTCCAATTCATTTAACATCTTTATAAAACAGAAAATACGCGCAAAATGATACAATTTGACAAGAACACCAAATCAAATACTGTGTCATAAGGTTGGCTAGAAGTTTTATGGCGATAGAACAACAGAAAAAAATTTTTGTTTTTTTTTAATAAATTAAATGCATACATCAGCAATATACAATGAGCAAGATTGTATTGTTTGGGCTTCCAAATCTTTCCAGGAATGCCTTCTTGAATATATTTTTTTTTATTCATCTTACATAAAATCGTTAAAATAAGCTGATAAGCTGAGAACTGACCTATGACCTATCAACTCTTCTATGGTCAAATGCGATGGCGGTTGACATAGTTTTTCCTTGATCCGTCCAGGTCCCCTACAAAGTCACGTGTGCGATGGGAATGCACTACAATGAAGTCATCAAGTCATGTGACTACGCTTACCTGGCCAACTGTCACAGAGAGGACGCCGCGTGAGTTATCACTCTTCTTTAGTCTCCTGGGGCAAGTCATTATCACTACTCGGGGAACCTTCAAATCTAAACAACTCTTGGAAATTTACTTGACTTCATTGCATCTGGTTCTCATAAAATTAATTTGATTGCTTCCAATTCTCGACGTTTAAGTTCCCACGCTTCTTCCCTTCTTGTCGCCAACACTCAATGGACTTATTTTTCCCTAATAGATGTAAAAAATCCATAATTTATGTCTAACCAAAGTCAATCGAAGGATCGATTTCTCCCAGTTCCTCCATCTGCGAAACAAAATGTAAATTCAATATCCTCCGAATAAATGTTACTGTGGCAGCATACTTTAACAAACTTGTAACTGGTCGGCATGAAATAACAGAAATTGTATATATATTTTTTTTTAAATGAATTCGCTTTATCCCTTAAAGTATCCTTGGCGTGTAGACCTATTGGACACACGCTGATTAAGGAATAAAGATATCTTTATTTTACAAACCAGGCACACGGTCAGCACAACACCACACAGCCCCCCTATCACAGTGACCACAGGTATATGCTTGCTAACGTGTATTGTCATTTGACTAATTTCCACCAATTAAATATATATATTAAACGATTATTTAACTATTTAGCAAAATTATTTTCTTCCCTTTACCCCCCCCCCCCAAAATCCCAAAACATTATTGAACACAAATTGTAATCCTCCAGGTACAAACGTCATCAGCAATCCTTGCAGTGGCGTGTCCAAGGTTATGGTGGCCCACCCAGACGACTGCCATAAGTATTTTTACTGCGGCCCGGACGGCGGCAGTTTCTTGTTGGAGTGCCAGCCCCCGCTGGTCTTCAACCCCAGTGTCCAGATGTGCGACCTGTTCTCGAACTACCCTTGCACTAACCCGCACAAACTCCAGTGAAGACATCAAACATCCAAACATTTGGTCTTGCTGTCACCATGTCGTTGTCTATAAGCGAAGGTTTTTTACGCCAGGGAAGCTGTTTTGGTTATCGAGTGAACAGTGTCAACCGAGTGGAACAAGAGCAGCATCATGTGTCAGTTTTCTCGTCAATTTTCATCCAAAAACAAGTTGTGGTCTAACAGTTTTCAGATTTTCGCACAGAAATGTTATTCAGGAGCGTGAGGTCGTACACTTGAAGTTGCAAAAAAAAAAAAAATTAAACATTTCAAAGACTCCGGCTTGGGAAAGTATTTTTTTTTTAAAGGGAGGGATTTTTTAAATTATTTTTTTTTTTACACTTAACTCGATATAATTTAAATTTGGTAAAGAAATCTTTTTTTTTTTTTTTTTTTTTTTTTTTTAAGGTAGGGATTTTTTAATTTTTTTTTTTTTTTACATTTAATTTGATTTAATTTAAAATTGATAAAAAAATTTTTTTTTTTTTTTTTTTTTTTTGGTTTAAAATTTACATGACTGAAGAGTGATTTGAATTTAACAATCACGTGTAAATCAACCAACCGGGTTATTGTATAATCTTATGTGTGGGAGAAACAAAGATGTTATCCAATGTCCTAATGTTTACCATTTCACGCCTTTGCTCTGAGCCTAAAAAGTTATTATCAGACTAAGTGCGCACTCCAGCTGACTAAGGCTGAATCATGGAGCCCATTGGCTTATCGGTAGCAGGTCATGTTTGTCGGCGATTCAAGTAATCTTCAACAGCTGTGATAAAGTACTTCAGTTCCCACACGATCTCAGTCCCAGGTATCAGAAAGCATCCCCTTCGCCTATTCAAGTCCCATAATAAGGCTTGTATCGTCACTTGATACACTCTAAATATGTATTCGTTTATAAAAGTAAGACTAACTTAATATTTATGAGAAAACTTGACATTTAGGTCTGCAATTCTCTAGACATTGATTTAATTTTGAATTGGTTTTTTTTTTTTTTTTTTTTTTTTATTTTACGGACGGTATGCAAAATTAAATTTCTCATTTCGGCCCATTTTATTTTTTTTTTTTTTTTTTTTTTTTTTTTTTTTTTTTTTTTTTTTTTTTTTTTTTTTTTTTTTTTTTTTTTAGTTTACGGACGGTATGCAAAATTAAATTTCTCATTTCGGCCCAGCCAATGAAATATTTTCATTACTTTAGAAATTCACTTTTTAACAAGACACATTTCGTTAGATAGTTTTTAAAACTGCTATATGAGATGTAGTTAGGATCCTCAGTTTATAATCACAGTCTAGTGTTCTTCTCTTTTGAATATGATTTATCATATTCGTGTCATGTAACATTTACTGTAAGCAGATTTCTCTTATGTCTCGTGCTATTATTCGAGTCAAATAAAGTGACTTCTTTTGTTACTCAGTAACTTATTGTGTTTTATTTTTTCAGCGGTACATCGAGATAGTGCTGACTTTGTTACACCCACTCTTACAATGTGCCACTCTGGTCAATTTAAGTCGTGAGAAGAAAGCAATTACACCTTTTAAATGATGGCTCACGTACTTCGCGCTGTATGTCTGGAACTAACGCTGAAAGATACAACTTTTGAAGCAGCGTTGCGTGTAGAGAATACGCAGTAGTTCCCCTTACAAATTCTTAACCCTGTCAAATACGTTTATCATGACCACTACACACTCTACAACCTCGGCAAACTCTACAAACACTACAAATACTACAAACTCTACGAGCACTAAAAATTCTACAAACTCTACAACATTATAAATATTATAAACTCTACAAACTCTGCAAACATCACAAACTCTGCAAACACTACAAGCGCAACAGTGCTGAGATTCCAAAGCCAGCAGCGCATATCACGACAGTTGAGAAGTAAACATTCCTTTGTTACGTTAAACATACGTTCCAACAGTCCATAATTGTTTAAATGAATGCTGCGCTTTGAAAACTTCAGCAACTTCACTCTCCAGATTCATTAAAAATGCATTTTGCTCGTTGTCACTTTCATCCCATAGAAATGGTACACGATAGGAAGATGTTTAGACCAAGAGACATGACGCATACACACTTGGATAGGATATCTTCGTTGTGACCTTTAGGGTCATGCTTTTGCCTTCAGTGGCGTAATACGGAACCAGGAACTTCATTACCTATATGCGTTTTAACTTTGAAATCGAAAATGTGTGTCTTTGATGTTGCCCGCTATTGATGTTGTCTGTTATTGGTGTTGTCTGTTATTGATGTTGTCTGTTGTTGATGTTGTCTGTTACTGATGTTGTCTGTTATTGATGTTGTCTGTTATTGATGTTTTCTGTTATTGATGTTGTCCACTTTTGATGTTGTCCACTTTTGATGTTGTCTGCTATTGATGTTGTCCGCTATTGATGTTGTCCACTATTGATGTTTTCCGCTATTGATGTCCACTATTGATGTTGTCCACTATTGACGTTGTCCGCTATTGATGTTGTCCACTATTGACGTTGTCCACTATTGATGTTGTCCTCTATTGACGTTGTCCACTATTTTTGTGGTCCACTATCGATATTACTTGTTACAAAGCGTTTCATTCTATATTTGCTATTCGTCAGAAATTTCTGATGTCTATTGTCAATGCCTTGAAATCTCGCTTCATGAGAATTTGGACTGCTGTGTGTTGTAAATCGGGGCAAAAGAAAAAAAATGGAAAATATGCTATCAACCAATCCTGGCCCAAATTGGAACACTACAAATTACAAATTACAACATACTCAGCTTCATGAAAGATTTTTAAAAGAACTGTAACGTCTTCCGTATATCAGATGTTGACTTTTGAAATAACCAGGGGGGAAAACTTATTTCCACTTCCTAGTTGAATTTGACAAAGGCGAAATAAGTTTATTCCTTAGTTCGTGTAGCCTTGGTTTAAAACATCAAATTGTACAGAATATCTACAAACTATATAGCTTACACTTATTGTCATCATTGGGCAGCGATATCTTTTTGCATATCCAAAAATATCCATTGGGGGGGGGGGGGGGGGATTTTTTTTCCCTTTCTAAGCCATGCTTCATTTATCTATTTATAGCATACCAGGGTGAATGGAAGGGAGTGCGGAAAAGTGTGTGTGTGTAAAAGGGAGGGGGGGAGAGAGGTGGGTTTAGTCAACGGCAATTGTTTTCTTTTAATTTTCGGCTACTAGACACGTTTTTTCATGTAAAAGGGCTGGCAAAATTGTTTGTCTCCTTGCAATATCTCTAGCTACTGGCTACAGTAATTGATTGTAGACTACGTATCTATAAAAAAAAAGCTAAGCGTGTTTGTCTCTGTCTTGTCGATAATGGATACGAGGCCTGGGTGGCGGTCAAAACCCTTGCCGATGATTTTAGTTACGCGGCCCTGAGAAAGCCGCTCCTAGGCGACCGTTTCGTCCCCGCTACGTCCCAACCGGACAACTCTCTGGGCGATGGGGGGGAGGTAACGCAACACCTCTTCCCCCCCCCCCCCCACGGGGGGGGCAAAGCGTTCAGACCCAAGGAGAGTGGACCGTGAACGCTTTAAACGCAGAGTTTTCAGTCGACCAGATGTCCCCCAGGCCAGGGGGGGGGGTTCCTGGCGTGCTTCCACACGGTCTGATGACGGGGAGTCCCAGCGTCGGCCCGTGTGGGGGTGTGCTGGGAGGGGGGCGGGGGGGTTATTAAGAGCTCACGCTCGACGACCCACCGACGCCATCTCCAATGTAACGTCTCTGTCTTGAAATGATTTTTGCCGTCGAAAGCTTTTTGGCCGAGGCGTTCACTTTCTGTTATTGTCCTTTTTAAAAAAAAATTTTTTTAAAAATTGCAGGAATTTTGAGGTAAAATGTAAATTTCTTTTTTAAACATCAAAGAGTTCTACAATAGGTGCCCTTGATAATTCATTTATCTGGAAAAAAATTGTAGACCTTTGAAACTCCAAATCAGCCTTTAATGAATTATTTAAAAAAAATCTACCCCGTGTCAACTTCCCTCATATAAATTACATGTACGAAAATAATGAGATTTGTCAATTTCTCTTATCTTCTGCACGCAATTATGGCATTAAAAATAATGTATAAAAACTGGCCAGGTTTAATTAGCCGTAAGAAATCAACATAACTTTTCTACATCACAGAATTTGGCCTCTTTTTTTTTTCTTTTGTACGATGGCAGGTAAGACTTGACAACATATACATTTTGATAAGTGCAAGAAGGTCCCTATTATAGGGAGAGAGAGAGAGAGAGAGAGAGAGAGAGGGAGAGAGAGGGAGAGAGAGAGAGGGAGAGAGAGAAAGAAAGAGCGGGGTTGCTTGTAAAACTTTTTAAAAAAATGTTTGCCGCCCGTAAAAAGAATTTTGATTGAAAAGAAGTAAACTTTTACTAATTGGTAGTTAATTCCTTTACGGATGCTATTCCATGAGTTCAAATAAGCCATAGGATTATAATTTTGAGACAAGCTATAGGATACCACTTTTTAGATAAGATATAGGATACCACTTTTAAAATAAGCTAAAGCATACCACTTTTGAGATGAGCTATAGGATACCGATTTTGAAATAATATATAGGATACCAAATTTTAGATAAGCTATAGGATACCACATAATTTGAAATAAGCTATAGGATACCAATTTTGAACTGAGCTATAGGATACCAATTTGAGATAAGCTATAAGATACCAATTTTGAGATAAGCTATAGGACACCAATTTTAAAATAAGCTTCAGGATACCAATTTTGATATAAGCCATTGGATACCAATTTTGAGCTAAGCTATAGGATACCAATTTTGATATAAGCCATAGGATACCAATTTTGAGCTAAGCTATAAGATACCAATTTGAGATAAGCTATAAGATACCAATTTTGAGTTAAGCTATAGAATACCAATTTTGAGCTAAACTATAGGATACCAATTTTAGATAAGCTATAAAATACCAATTGTGGGCTAAGCTATAGGATACATATTTGAGATAAGCTATAAGATACCAATTTTGAGATAAGCTATAGGATACCAATTTTAAGATATAGCCGTCGCTAAAAGGCATCCAGTGTGTGACAACCAGCCCGACCAAAGGAGTTGGTTGTCACATAGTGTTGGGTAGGTTATCACGTAAGGTTGGGTAGGTTGCCATATAGCGGTTTATTTATTTGATTCGGACCAAAAGAACATTTTTGACAACCTATGCCCTTTTAAGTAATTAAGTTCAAACTTTCATGTGGCTTGTATAACTATCAAGAAATGCATAGAAGAAATGCGTGGTTAATGCATTAATGTTAAACAACTATTTATCCATCAAAAGTCAGCCGAAGCTCATCTAAACAAAATACACATATTAATTTGTGAACACTAAAAAAAAATAATGTAATATCCTAATTTAATTATCATGATGTTCATTGAATTAGAAATCAGTACCTGCGATGATAGATTTTTTACTAATCTTTTTTGAAATTCTTAAAAAAGATATATTTGAAATTAGTCATAAAAAGGGAATTGCTTTTTACACAGTGACAAAAGCCAATACTTGATACACTGTGACAACCAGCCAATACTTGATACACTGTGACAACCAGCCAATACTTGATACACTGACAACCATCCAATGCTTTTTACACTGTGACAACCAGCCCCATCATGAATAATATGCTGTTGAATTTATGTAAATATTATTTTATTTTTTCATTTTGTTTGCATTGGGACTTGCTAGTTCCTGAAAATAATTTTCCATCTTGCTTTAAATCTAAAATGAATAATGGCGGTGCTGAATGTATACGAGAAACTTAATTAATAATTTAAATTAAATAAAAGAAAGAATGATTTTAGAAGAAAATTTACTTGTAGTCAAAAACACTTTTTAAAATCTCAATAATTGTTTTTACATGCTCAAGCGGCTTGAAATGAAATATACAGGGATATCTTGTAGTTGAGCATTTAGCGCGACCTATAAAATCATCTCGCATTTTTTTCTGGTCTTCAAAATATAATCAATGACACAACCAGCCCAAGAAGACAAGCTACCCAAATCTCCCATACGTATTGCTTAATTTCATTGTCTTTCAACTGGTCTAATGATGTTGGCAGTGCTCTACGTTTGCCGGATAACTTTTCATGTATTAAACATGTAGTTAAAACAATTGAATAGTTTGAATTAAACATTATAAAACAACATTAATATTTGGAAAGAAATTTTTAAAAATATAGTATTTTTATCAGCACATCCTGTCAAGGGAAACTAAATTTCCACTTGCATCTGTTCTGTTGCTTGCTGATTAAGGGCAGAAAAAGAAAAACTAAATTCAGTTTGCGCCAAAATAAATACCGGCTTTTTTGTAATTATCAATACTTATTATTGTAAATTAGAGCCCTTGCCATTTGCAACTCTGTGAGTCGTGCGTCTTAAATGTAAACCAATAAAA